AGAATAGAACAGAACAGAATAATAGAATAGAATAGAATAGAATAGAATAGAAGAATAGAGTAGAGTAGAATAGAATAGAACAGAACAGAACAGAACAGAATAGAATAATAGAATAGAATAGAATAGTAGAGTAGAGTAGAGTAGAGTAGGAGTAGAGTAGAGTAGAATAATAGGAATAGAATAGAGTAGAGTAGAGTAGAATAGAATAGAATAGAATAGAATAGAATAGAATAGAATAGAATAATAGAGTAGAGTGGAGTGGAGTGGAGTGGAGTAGAAGAATAGAATAGAATAGAATAGAATAGAATAGAATAGAATAGAATAGAATTCAGGAAGAGAAGAGAGAAGAAAGAATAGAAGATAGAATAGAAGATACAACAGAACAGAACAGAATACAAAATACAGAATATAGAATAGAATAGAATACAAAATAGAATAGAATAGAAAACAGAATATAGAATATAAAATATATAGAATAGAATAGAATGGAATCACAGTTGGAAGGGACCTTGGAGGTCTTCTAGTCCAACCCCTGCCTAGGCAGGCAGGAAGCCCTACACCACTTCAGACAAAGGGTTATCCCAACATCTTTTTAAAAGTCTTCCAACGTTGGAGCATTACTAGCTTTCGTGGCTCTCCTGCCCAGTTCTCTGACTCTATGAATTGAAATCAAGTTTGATATTATTGCTTCTTTTTAAGGCATCTAAACCCGTGTCTCTCAACCTAGGCCACTTTTAAGAGGTGTGGACTTCAACTCCCCGAGTTCCCCCACGCGTCTTTGAGTTGCTACGGGTGAGGAACACCGCAAGCAGCAATTAATACTGTATTCCTAAACATATTCTAAAAAAGCCCACAGCAGTTTGCACATTAAAAAAAAAAAGGAAACTTTCCTCGCCACTCCAACACTGAAATGCCCCCACGCTTCCAAGTTTGATTTATCTCCTGAAAGAGACACGGCTTCGTAACTTGAAAAAGTTTTGTTTTTGGAAATATAGCATGTATAGGAGCATCTCAGGTCTAGCACCATGCACCTGAGGGAGGGAGGGAGGGACGGAGGAAGAGCAAAGAGGGAGGAAAGGAAAGAAAGAAAGAAGGGAAGAAAGGAAGGAAAGAAGAAAGGAGGGAGGGAAGGAAGGAAGGAGAGACAGGAGGGAGGGAGGAAAGGAAGGCAAGAAGAAAGGAGGGAGGGAAGGAAGAAATGAGATGGCAGAGAGGGAGGAAGAGAGGAAGGAAAGGAGCGAGGGAGGGAGGAAAGGAAGGAAAGGAAGGAAAGAAGAAAGGAGGGAGGGAAGGAAGATATGAGATGGCAGAGAGGGAGGAAGAGAGGAAGGAAAGGAGCGAGGGAGGGAGGAAAGGAAGGAAAGAAGAAAGGAGGGAGGGAAGGAAGAAAGAAATGAGATGGCAGAGAGGGAGGAAGAGAGGAAGGAAAGGAGCGAGGGAGGGAGAAAAGGAAGGAAAGAAGAAAGGAGGGAGGGAAGGAAGATATGAGATGGCAGAGAGGGAGGAAGGGAGGAAGGAAAGAAGCGAGGGAGGGAGGAAAGGAAGGAAAGAAGAAAGGAGGGAAGGAAGGAAGGAAGGAGATGGCAGAGAGGGAGGAAGAGAGGAAGGAAAGAAGTGAGGGAGGAAAGGAAGGAAAGAAGAAAGGAGGGAGGGAAGGAAGGAAGAAATGAAATGGCAGAGAGGGAGGAAGAGAGGAAGGAAAGAAGCGAGGGAGGGAGGAAAGGAAGGAAAGAAGAAAGGAGGGAGGGAAGGAAGAAATGAGATGGCAGAGAGGGAGGAAGAGAGGAAGGAAAGAAGAAGGGAGGGAAGGAAGGAGAGACAGGAGGAAGGAAGGAAAGGAAAGGAAGGAAGGAGGGAGGGAAGGAGATGGCAGAGAAGAAGGAAGGAAGGAGAGAGGGAGAAAGGAAGATCTAACGCAGGGCAACTGCCAACACTGAACCTAGACGGGGGCTACAGAGCAGGAGGAAAATATCCCTGGCTTCTTAAGAGGACTGAAAACTATTCCTTTACAGGTAGTCCTCGACTTATAACCTGTCATTTAGCAACAGTTCAAAGCTACAGTGGGCCCTGGAAAAAGCAACTTACGGCTGGTCCTCGCACCTACCACCGTTGCCTAGCGATCAAAATTCGGGCTCTTGAATTAATACTCTCTTCCCCACCACCGCGATTCAGAAACCCCCTGGCTTATTCCCGCGGCCACAACCTCAGCGCCTATAGGAGAACAACAACACCCCCCTTTCGGTCCCGTTTAACACAACGCTGGCACAAGCGAACTGTGGGGGGGTCCTTGGTGCTCTCAGCCTGGTGGTTTTCTTGCAGAACGTTTCACCACCCAAGGAGGGAACGTCATCAAACGCTTAGAACCTGAGAACTTTGCACCTCAGGAGAAAAACCCCCAGAAACGTCCCAGACAAAACAACTCCAATGGGTTCCGGCGTTCGATTCCGCTTTGGGATCTTCCCCCCCGCCGTCTGGAAGGGCTTCTCAAAGTTTGCGTGAGAAGGAAGAGCCATCAAAAGTCCTGAGCACTTGGCCAAATTCAGAGGGGAAAAATAAAGAACATTAAACTATCAATCAATCAATCAGAATAGAGCTGGAGGTCATCTAGTCTAACCCCCTGCTACAGCAGGAGATGCTATATAATTTGAGGCAAATGGCTGTCCGGTCTCTTCTTAAAAAGCTCCAGTCATGAAGCACCCACAACTTCTAGTGGCAAGCAGTTCTACTGGTTCATTGTCCTCAATGTTAGGAAGTTTCTCCTTAATTTCAGGTTGCTTCTCTTTTGGGTTAGTTTCCACCCATTGTTTCTTGTCTTGCTTTCTGGTGCTTTGGAAAATAAGTTGATCCCCTCTTATTAGTGGCACCCCCTCAAATACTGGAAGTCAGCTCTCATGTCACCCCTAATCCTTCATTTCATTAAACCAGGCATACCCAGTTCCTGCAACCATTCTTGATACATTTTAAGTCTCCAGTGCCCTTAATCATCCTGGTTGCTCTTCTCTGCATTTTTTTCCCCCCAAAGTCTCAACATATTTTTGGTAACGTGGTGACCAAAACTGGATCCAGTAGTCCAGGTGGAGTCTTATTAGGGTTTTATAAAGCAGTACTAAAAAACTTCACGTGATTACTAGAATTAGAAGACCTCTAAAATCCGTTCCAACTCTTGTTTATTCCCTATTCTGTATGATTCAAGCAAACCAGCCAATTTTGGGTGTCTCCAAGCAAAAAAATTTTCTCCTATCAAGCAAAAAATAATAATAATAATAATAATGGTCTTGGGCTTTTCATTCTACCTCCGTCAATCAAGCAGAAGAAAAAAAAAGAACTTTTAAAAGCTTCTTTCAGATTTGCACGAAGCAACAGAAAGTCACTGCTTTTCATTTAAAGGAATTTAATCCACGGTGTGTGTAGGAAGGAGTTTTGGGAGAGAAGCGAAGGGAGAGAAGAAGCGATTTCAAGATCCTGAAGCTCAGATCCAAATTTCGCTACGGATCCTCAAGGTCGTCAGTTCCCAGTGTAAACAGTTATGCCAATTTTGCAAAAAGTGTGAAAAAGAGGGGGGAAAGGGGGCACCTGTTTAATACTTGCATGCTTTAACGTGCTCTGATTGGTGGCGAGTTGATAGTGCTGGAGAACTGAAACTAAGTTAGGAAAACTTTCGATTATGAAAAATCAACTTTTTTCTCAGCCTCCGTGAAAATTAGGGCTTTACTTTGAAAGCAAAAAATAAGTTTAAAATGATCAGGAGCCTGGATTTAGGCAATGCTGCCCCTTTGGGGAACCGTGCAAATTATTGCAAATAAACCGGATCGAAGGAATATCAAGATATGCCTTTTTTTTTTCTCCCCCACATCAAGCCCTGCTAGGTATGCTTCTAAGACAAGCCATGGGTCTAATCTCATTTTTTTGGGGAGGTCTTTAAGTGCAAGGAAACGCTCCAAATTTTCAAAGAGGGGTGCAAGATGCCTTCTGCACAAAAGCCAGCTTGGTTTCTGTTGGGAGAGGCGATAGTGAGCCAGATGGCCTGTACATTGAATTTTTTAAAAAAAATAAAATAAAAATAACTTCTGGGGAAAGTTCTTCGAAGTTTCAAACAGCAGGTTTCCCCAGCCTAGCGTGGGGAGGTTGGTGCTTCTTAAGTTCCTCCTTAGGGCCAATTTAAGGTCAGGCTGAAGGTCAAGAAGAAGAACAAAGACGTCCGTTCTGCTTTTTCAAAAGCGCATCCCATCTGGTTCAAAACCAAGTCACAGTTGGCGCTCCGGAGCCCAAAAACAAAACGAAAAGAAGAAGAAAGAAAACTATTTCAGAGGAGGAGGAGAAAAAGGTTTAGATTTTGAACACCACGGAGCATTTCAGGTGAGCTGGCTCGAGGCCGTCGGTGAAGGCCACGAGGAAATACATCACTTTCCGGATTTTGGCCAGCTCCACCAACCTTTCCCCAAACTCCAAGGCGTCCGCTTCGTTGCAGTCGACCACATCGGGCGTATCCGGCTTCTTCCAGAACGTCCCCACCGGGTCCAAGAGCTGCCTTCGCATGAGGTTGGTCAAATCCGGCGTCCAGTGTTGAGAAGTCCCGATAATGGTGGCCTTGCCCGGCTGGTCCAGGGCTACTTTCCAGCTCAGGAAACGGAGGCCGTGCTGACGGGAGAAGTCCAGACGGAACACAAACTCGTTGGGGCGGAGGAGTTTCTCCCCGTCTTGAGGTTTCTCCTTCCTCTGCTCGAGGGTCTTCACTCGGATCCTCATCACCTTGGTCAGCTCGGCATCTTGGACCAAAGGCATCTCCAATTCAGCCGCCTCGTCGCTCATCATTCTTCTTTCGGCACGGGGAGGATTTCTGCACCAGCGACCGAGGTGTCTGACTGAAGCAAAAACAAAACCTCCTTCTGCTCCTTGGCTCGCTTGCTGGCACCCCGGTGATGCTAAGCAACCTGGGCCGGAGAAGCAAGAAGCCCGAGGGGTTTTTTCCTCTGGGCGTCTCATTTTCCAGGGAGGGACACGTTCATTGAGGGTCCCCCGAGCGATGTCTCTTGATATTGGCTGCCTTAACAACCTGGCTTAGCAACCGTTCCCAAGCGAGAACGCCTTGAACAGAATAACAGAGTTGGAAGGGACCTTGGGAGGTCTTCTAGTCCAACCCCGTTTTGGCAGGAGACCCTATCACATTTCAGACCCAATAGGTGGTCCAATCTCTTCTTAGAAAAGCCTCCAGCGATGGGAGCACCCACAACTTCCGAATGGATTGTTGTCACTATCAGGAAATTCCTCCTTGGTTCCAAATTGCTTCTCTGCTTGATTGTAGTTTCCACCTGTTGCTTCTTTTTCTGCCTTCAAGGGCTTTGGAGAATAGAATAACCAATTTGGAGGTCTTCTAACGGGATCACGGAGTTGGAAGGGACCTTGGAGGTCTTCTAGTCCAACCCTCTACCCAAGCAGGAGGCCCTATACCATTTCTAGTTCAACTCCCCACTCAGGCAGGGAAGCCTACATTATTTCAGACGAATGATTGTTCATTATAATATCCAATTCTTCTTAAAAATCCTCCACCGATGGGAGCACCCACAACTTCTGAATGGATTGTTGTCACTATCAGGAAATTCCTTCTTAGTTCCAAATTGCTTCTCTCCTTGATCCGTTTCCACCCGTTGCTTCTTGTCCTGCCTTCAGGTGCTTTGGAGAATAGCTTGACTGCCTCTCTTCTTTGGTGCGGCCCCGGAGATATTGGAGCACCGCTATCCTGTCTCCCCTAATGCTTCTTTTCATTAAACCAGAGATATCCAGTTCCTGCAACCGTTCGTCATATGTTTTATCCTCCAGTCCCCTGATCCTCTTTGTCGCTCTTCTCTGCACTCTTTCCAGAGTCTCAACATCATTTTTTTAAAAATTGCGATGACCAAAAGAGGATGCAGTTATTCCAGGTGTGGCGTTACCAAAGGCACCCTAAAGCACTAAACGCTTCGCGTGATCTTTATTCTATCCCTCTGTTAATGCAGCTTAGGGTTGTGTTGCAGGGATGGAGAGAAGGTGGTTGCATTTGAAGGGGCCAAGGAAAATGCTTGGATGAGTTGCACAACCAAGCTGGCACTTTCAAGACCGGCTAAAATTCAACTCCCATGCTTCCCGGCCAGTTTGGGGTCAAAGGGCGGAGGGAAAGAAGAGATGTTGAAGAAACCTTTTTTTAAAAAATAAGGGTCATTGCAAACCTTTTTTTTTTTTCTTTCCTAATGGTGATTTAATTCAGGAGGTCTGCCAAACGATTCTGCGTTCCAGATTCTTTCAGGATTTAAAGACGGGTTTTACAGGAAACAAAGCACTTGCAATTCCACCCGGAGATTTGACTGGTAGCTGGCAAAGCGCTTTTGGCTTTGCCAAAACGGGGGTCAGGTTTGGATGCTTTGATCCACAGCTCTGATCCGGCAGTGGGTTGGACTAGAAGACTTTCAAGATCTCTTCCAACTCTATTATTCAATGTCCTAAGTACTTTAAACCTTCCCTTAGGGAAAGCAGAACTCGGTTCTCCGACTGGAGGCTAAAACCTATGAAGAACGGTTACAAAAACTGGGCCTAGCTAGTCTAGGGAAGAGAAGGACCAGGGGAGACAGGAGAGCAGTCTTCCAGTTCTTGAGGGGCTGCCCCAGAGAGGAGCTACTCAGTTTCCCTGAAAACACGACTTACCCTGAAAGTAAGTCCTAGCTTGATGTTTACAGGTGCACCTAATATAAGCCCTACCCAGAGGTGGTATTCAGCAGGTTCTGAGCAGTTCTGGAGAACCCGGTAATGGAAAGTTGGAGTGGTTTGGAGAACCAGCAAATCCCACCTCTGACTGGAGATTTTACAATATCCTTCCCCTGCCACACCCACAGAACCGGTAGTAAAAAAAAATTTGAATCCCACCACTGGCCCTACCTCCAAAATAAGCCCTAATTAAGATCCCACCTACTCCAGAGTGGACGGGTAAAAATTAAGCTAGGGTGGGGATGGAGGTGTGTGTGGAGCTGCCCTACTACTTACCTTTGGACAGTTGTAGCCAGGCCTCACACACCCCGACACCTGCCTGGCCAGTCCATTTCTTCTGCAGCCAGCAAGGCAGGCATTCCTGAAGGCCTCTGTAGCTGATAACAGCTCAGGATCGATCCGGAGGTCTGTTATATCGGCTGCAGAGACCTTCAGGAAAGCCGTGGCCGCAGAAGAAGAGGTTCCTGAAGGCCTCTGACTGCGAAAAGGAGGCCGGGGGGCAACGTGCGCAAGTGAGGTTAGTCAGTGGATGACATCCCCCCCAAAATAAGACCTGGTGCCTTTTTTTTGGGTGGCAAAAAGATACAAGACAGGTGTCAACTCATAAAATATTTCTCTGGTCTTTTGAGAGTTGGCAACAGAAAGGGAGAGGGCAGCAGCTTGCAAACTGAAAGTGCATTCCATAAATGTTTTCCAGAATCTGCCGGAATCCTGACAACAGGGTCTTATTTTGGGGGGAATGTGGTATTTTCTAAAGTACCTGAAGGAATGGATGGAAACTGATCAAGGAGAGATTCAACCTGGAAATAAGGAGGAATTTCCTGACAGGGAGATGACCTACAAGGTCCCTAGACAATGGACAGGTCTTGACCTACAAGGACTAGATGACCTACAAGGTCCCTTCCAACTCTTCATCTGGTTAGGGATCTCGTGAACGGAGGAGGGCATGCGACACAGCCCACAGCAAATGTGATCATGGAAAGATGACAATCCCTCGGTGTGCCACCTTCCGAATTTCATTCATTAGGAGGTCCTCTGGAGATCCAGGCAATGGCATCGAATGGAGGATTACGACACAGCTGCAGCAGCACAACAATTCATTCTAAGTTGCACTGGACACAATGGATGCCAAGCTAGTCTGTGATGACCCAGGGCGTGGCACGAAGGCAACACAGTCAGATAAGCAGTAGCCCCCAATGTCCTGGTTACCTTCTGGCTGGAGAAAAACTCTCCCAGGAACAGCCTTGGGTTGTAGACAATCAAGTCCAAAACATGGTCAACAAAAATTGTAACTATAAGTCCAATCGAGGCAAAATGAGGTAATTAGTCCGGCAGGGCAAGAGAAGGAATTTCAGACTTGAAAGCATGGCAAAACTCACACAGTTGGAAAGATGCCAGGAAGCCAGATAAGCCATGACAATACCAGATAAATTCACGTTTGTTTCCAGAAGACGCCACACTCAGCTTGCATCTCTTTTAAACTCTCTTCCCAGGTGTGGCTAATGAAGGGAATCAGGGCCCTTTCCTCCCCCATAAGCCATGCAACCCACGTTGCTCCCTCCTCCGTTCCTCCCTGCGTGCCCTAGGATGAAGAGGGGGTGGGCCTGGGTCTTCCTCTGAACTCCCTCTCCCTTGTTCTCCCTCTCCCCTGCTCTGCCCAGCTGCCCTTTGCCCTTCCCCAGTTTCCTCCACAGCCAACGGAGCCACACTCCCGCTCCCTGTCGGCTGTTCATCTTCCTCCTCGGATTCAGATTCCGACAGGGGCATGACAATGATTTCCTTTCAAGTCCAGTGATAACAAGAAGTCAACAACCCCTGGTTTGAGCTTCTTCGGCGACAGTCCGAAACTGCGTCTCTGCACGCTTTCGATCCGTGCTCGCCTCTGGAGCACCCCGAGTTGGCTGGTTTTGGGGCTAAGCCATCCCATAGAGGTGGTGAAGAGGGGGGAGACTGCCTGCAGGGTTGAGGAGAGCCACATCTCCACCCCCAGCTGGCCATTACTCCCTTTCCCGAAGGCGGTTGTAGCGGTGGTCAGAAACGGCCACCACAAAGAAGAACTCGACCGGAAAAGAATGTGCAGGAGGAAGATAAGAAGAGAAAGTTTTGGTTGACTGGGTCAAACAGCAAAAGCAACAAATAAGGTACCCTGGAATTGAAACTATTAAAAAAAAAAAGTTTTGTGGCTGAGCCGAAACAGTTGTTGAGTGAGCCATGCCCCATTTTGCTACTTGTCTTGCTACTGTTGCTAAGTGAATGACCCACAATGGTTAAGTTAGTAACGCCGTTGTTAAATGAATCCAGCTTTTTCCCATTGACTTCGCTTGTCGGAAGGTCACAAAAAGGGGCATCGCATGACCCCAGGACGCTGGGACCATCATAAATACGTGTCAATGGCCAAGGGTCCGAATTTTGATCACGCGGAGATATGTGGCAAGGGTCGTTAAGTGGGACCCATGGTTATCAATCCCCTTTTTTTGGTACCATTGTTACTTTGAACTGTCACTAAAGGAATGGTTGTAAGTCGAAGAATGCCTTTTTTAACAATCCATTTCTAAAACATACATTTGATGAATCTATTTTATTTTTTCTATATGTACACTGAGAGCTTCTACACCAAAGACAAATTCCTTGTATGTCCAATCACACTTGGCCAATAAAGAATTCTATTCTATTCTATTCTATTCTATTCTATTCTATATTCTATTCTATTCTATTCTATTCTATTCTATTCTATTCTATTCTAATTCTATTCTATTCTATATTCCATTCCATTCCATTCTATTTTCTATTCTATATCTATATCTATACTATTCTATTCTATTCTATTTTCTAATCTATTCCCTCTTCATTCTATTCTGTTTTCTATTCTATTTTCTATTCTATTTTCTTTTCTATTTTCTATTCTATTCTATTTTCTATTCTATTCCCTCTACATTCTATTCTATTCTATATCTATACTATCCTGTTATATTCTATTTTCTAATCTATTCCCTCTTCATTCTATTCTGTTTTCTATTCTATTTTTTATTCTATATTCTATTCTATTCTGTTTTATTTTCTATTCCCTCTACATTCTATTCTATTCTATTCTATTCTATTCTATTCTATTCTATTCTATTCTATTCTATTCTATT